TGAAATATAAATATTTTGTAACATTATACATGTCTTTACTGTCACTTTCAACCAATTTAATGCATCTTTGCTTAATAGTTCACCCAAAAATGAAAATTCTGTCATTTACTCACCCTCAGGTTATTCCAAACCTGTATGAGTTTCTTTTTTCTGTTGATCACAAAAGAAGATATTTTGAAGAATATGGGTAGCCAAACAGTTGATGGTCCCCATTGACTTCTACAGTATGGGAAAAAAAAAATACCATGGAGGTAAATGGGGACCATCAACTTTTCTTTTTCTTTTTCAAAATATCTTCTTTTGTGTTTCAAAAGAAACAGGTCAGACAGTTTGAGATTAATTGTACAAAATTATTGCAATGACAAATGTTTTAAAGACCCCATGAAATGACCTACTGTATTTTAATTAACAATGATTTGTTTACTTGGTAGCCAGCTATACAGGCAATATTAGTGGGGGGTGGGGGGGTTGGGGGTTCCTTTCACTCTGCTCTTTGCCAGATGCATCACCCCGTCCTAAACTGTCTGTGGATACGTATGGTGCCTCCAAACTGTATGTCAAGGACAAACAAAATGTGAAAATCTCCTGCTCCATCGGCTCAGTTTATTTAAAATCAAATGACTATGTAAATCACCCCATTCACACTTGTACTGAATTGTTTGTAATTACGTTGCAAATGATCTTTCTAGTACATACACAGCAGGTGTCCTCTCAACAGTCTTCCTTCTTGTTTAGGGATACTTAGAGTTTAGAAGGGATGGCACTTATTTGAGTCAAACATACACCAAACCAGGCTACCCTGAGTCTATCACACAGTATGCCCCAGTGCTTGAAGGAGAGTATGAATGTGTATTCCATCTTATTTCCTCGAAAATTAAACTGACGTCTCAGCCCAGCAATTCAGCCTTCATTTGCAGTGAGTTCCTATAAACAGCTAACTTTTTGATGCATTACAACTAAGATAAATTACTCTGTTTCAGCCTTTTATTTATGTAATTATTTGTTTAATTATTTATTTATGTTTTGCATGTAGTCATGCACTTTACCTCTTATAAATAATGTTTAATGCAGAGATTTAAATAATAAACGCCAAGGGGCAGTGCTGAGCTACTACTTTGTATTTGACCAACACATTAGTGCACTGCACTTTTAAAGACATAAGCTGCGTCCGAAATCGCATACTTCCATACTATATAGGAGGCGAAAAACAGTATGCGAGGCGAGTAGTATGTCCGAATTCATAGTATTCGAAAAACAGTAGGCGAGAAGTACCCGGATGACCTACTACTTCCGCCCGAATTCCGTAGCATGCATACGATGGACACTTTACTATCCCATGAGGCCACAGGAGAGGAGGCATCATATTCGAAAATGGTGGAAGGCGGCGACGCGGCTCTTTTCAAGTGCAAGTACCTCAGGGAAAAACGTTGTTCATTGTGGTTAAATTGCACTTGTTTAACATGAACTAAGTGAACGGCTGACTTATTGAGCAGCGATGAGGGACATGATGGACTGTCGTGAAAGCCGGAGGTTTGGACGGAGGTCAGATCCATCTTC